AATTTAGACATAAATACAGTTACATCGGTGCAACACATCAGAGAGCAGACCATGCAGTACAAAAGCATAATCAGTGCCTTTTATCTTAAGAATATATAGCTTTACTGTATTAGAAATAGTATTGGTTTAATGATAGTTATAAAAGAATTTCCTGACATGAAACAGTTAACTGACAAAAAGCCTTGAGAAAGGATGTGTTCAACAGAAGGGGAGGAGAGGGAAGACAAGAGACAGTGGGGGGGAAGGCCTTAAAGATAAAGCTACATGGAGGAACCTTTTTTTAAACTCTGTTATTGACACAGTCTTGTTAGTGACAGTAAGTGAGGCTGATTTGAGCAGGAAACCCTTTGGAAATCCTGGCTTTTCAAAGGGACCTCTGGTTTTGAGATAATGGAAGCTCACAATTCCCTGTCATGGAACATAATGTGAAATTGATTTTGCAAGGCTTTATCTACACAAAGTTGCACTGGTTTAATTAAAGGTGTGTTTTAAAATCGATTCCTTTAAACCAGACCAAGCTCCTATGTGGACACTCTGAAATCGATTCGAAACTGTCTTGTGTCAACTAGCCCTAATTTGGCAAAGAACCAACTTACACTCAGCTGGCACCAATTTAAGCTGATCCAAAAATAGGGTTAAAAATAAAACTTACCTGAAATTATAAGATTTTGATTTCTACCCTAGATGCATCAAGTTATGTTGGCCTCCAGTAGCCTAGTCCATCTGTTTAGGAATGAGATGAACTCGTTTCTTAAGTTCTATGGGTGTATGGATTTTTGACAGGTCAATGTTCTTGAGGAAGGATACAGTGTAAAGCACTGTGAAACTAGGGTGTCTAAACTCAAAAGGTGACAGGTGTAAGAAGGAAGAAGTGACGAACTGTGGAGACCACTTTTCCCTCCTTTTCTATTTATTTGGTTTCTTTAATGCAGAAAGATGAGCAATGAGCCTTCTTCATGACCAGTAAAAGCTCTCATGCTGTAGTATTGGAGAGCTCCTTAAATAACCCACAATTAGTGTAGGGGGCGCATGGGAAATCAGGCCAATATTATTCTGTGAAACACTGCTACAACCAAGTCAAAATCTCTCCTTTCTTAAGGGTCTGGCAAGGGGATAGAAGGGATTTTAAAGATCCACTGCAAACTAGCTGTCTGGAAATTTCCCCGAGTTTAAGGATTTCTTTGCAATCCCAATCATTTGCACTCCACTAGGCTGCAAATGAGGGTCTGCATTTGAGTCCACAGCTTACAGAAATGCATCCACATTCTTTCCACACCTGAGAAACACATGGGAAAGCAGGCAGTGAACTTGCTACTGGTGTGCTGCTCAGGACACGTCTAATGACATGTCGCTCTGGTTCTATAAGCACAGCTAAGCCAGCAGCACTCTAGCCAAGAGCTGGGGCCTGATCTTGCTTGAGGAAACAGGAGCCTTCACACATGCCATCACAGAAACAGGGCCAGGCTGTGAGATGTGCTCCTGCTGATACTCGTCCAAAGTGTTTTTAGTGATGAGAGCCAATGTATCTCAGCTCCTCCCAGGAGAACAAATGGGTGTAGTCCTGCAAAGCAGGTGTTCCTCCAAGCCTCTGTGTACTCGTATCTACAGACAGCATCCCAAGTGGGTAAATTCTAATGCAGAGCTGAGCACTGAGCAACTAACTACCAGCCTGCCATTGCTTAAAGACAATTTTTCAACCTTTATCCTTTGTGTCACTTATGCTACACCAAAAACTTGCGTATGACACCGAAAGGACTTAAAGCTACATGTGTATGCTTAGATGGTGAACTATAGCCCTAATTATTGAGAATAGTGGCCCTAATTACTAAGTTTGATTTTAAAGCACTTAAACTATGCGCAACAGTAAGTGCTCTGTATCCTTGCACTCTTCTGAAGTGCTGCTAATGGGTAATGTGCTACTTTACTTTCTGTTTGGTTCGACAGATTTATTTTCAGAGTGAAT